TCTGGTAACATGAAGCTATGTCCACAGCATCTGACATCATGGAGCTATGTCCCTTGAGCCTATGACATCAGAGGGCTATGTCCCTGGTGCCTATGACATCAGGGAGCTATGTCCCTGGTGTCTGTGACATCAGAGGGATATGTCCCTGGTGCCTATGACATCAGGGGGCTATGTCCCTGGTGCCTATGACATCAGGGAGCTATGCCCCTGGTGCCTATGACATCAGAGGGCTATGTCCCTGGTGTCTGTGACATCAGAAGGCTATGTCCCTGGTGCCTATGACATCAGGGAGCTATGCCCCTGGTGCCTATGACATCAGGGAGCTTTGTCCCTGGTGCCTATGACATCAGGGAGCTATGCCCTTGGTGCCTATGACATCAGAGAGCTATGTCCCTGGTGTCTGTGACATCAGAGGGCTATGTCCCTGGTGCCTATGACATCAGGGAGCTATGCCCCTGGTGCCTATGCCATCAGGGAGCTATGTCCCTGGTGTCTGTGACATCAGAGGGCTATGTCCCTGGTGCCTATGACATTAGGGAGCTATGCCCCTGGTGCCTATGCCATCAGGGAGCTATGTCTCTGGTGTCTGTGACATCAGAGTGCTATGTCCCTGGTGCCTATGACATCAGAGTGCTATGCCCCTTGTGCCTATGCCATCAGGGAGCTATGTCTCTGGTGTCTGTGACATCAGAGGGCTATGTCCCTGGTGCCTATGACATCAGGGAGCTATGTCTCTGGTGTCTGTGACATCAGAGTGCTATGCCCCTTGTGCCTATGACATCAGGGAGCTATGTCCCTGGTGTCTGTGACATCAGAGGGCTATGTCCCTGGTGCCTATGCCATCAGGGAGCTATGTCCCTGGTGCCTATGCCATCAGGGAGCTATGTCTCTGGTGTCTGTGACATCAGAGTGCTATGCCCCTGGTGCCTATGACATCAGAGTGCTATGCCCCTTGTGCCTATGACATCAGAGTTTTGTCCATTGCGTCTCTGGTAACATGAAGCTATGTCCACAGCATCTGACATCATGGAGCTATGTCCCTTGAGCCTATGACATCAGAGGGCTATGTCCCTGGTGTCTGTGACATCAGAGGGCTATGTCCCTGGTGCCTATGACATCAGGGAGCTATGTCCCTGGTGTCTGTGACATCAGGGAGCTATGCCCCTGGTGCCTATGACATCAGGGAGCTTTGTCCCTGGTGCCTATGACATCAGGGAGCTATGCCCTTGGTGCCTATGACATCAGAGAGCTATGTCCCTGGTGTCTGTGACATCAGAGGGCTATGTCCCTGGTGCCTATGACATCAGGGAGCTATGCCCCTGGTGCCTATGCCATCAGGGAGCTATGTCCCTGGTGTCTGTGACATCAGAGGGCTATGTCCCTGGTGCCTATGACATTAGGGAGCTATGCCCCTGGTGCCTATGCCATCAGGGAGCTATGTCCCTGGTGCCTATGCCATCAGGGAGCTATGTCTCTGGTGTCTGTGACATCAGATGCTATGCCCCTGGTGCCTATGACATCAGAGTGCTATGCCCCTTGTGCCTATGACATCAGAGTGCTATGTCCCTGGTGCCTATGCCATCAGGGAGCTATGTCTCTGGTGTCTGTGACATCAGAGGGCTATGTCCCTGGTGCCTATGACATCAGAGTGCTATGCCCCTTGTGCCTATGACATCAGAGTGCTATGTCCCTGGTGTCAGTGACATCAGGGAGCTATGTCCCTGGAGCCTATGACATCATAGAGCTATAGCAGAGAATTATATTTAGTAGTTGAGTAAGTTACTGGCCAGTGAAGCATATGATTGTGTGGCATCCATCATGTTTTTGTTGGTCTGCCTGTTTTGATAACTCACTCAAGCAGTTTGTTTCTGGCGAAGGAGTGGGTCTTGTTTCGGTCATGATAAGTGAAACACAAGCCATGTCATAAGACTCTCCTCTCAACATGAGCAATGTTCTATTTGAACAGCACAACTTCAATTTAATTATATGTTTTTTTCTGAACTCATGCTGAAGGTGTTCATTGTATATACACTGATAACATTGATGTTGTAGCAAGAAATTAGGTCAAATTGTGTAGGGACAGGTATCCTTGTCACACTGTTTTGGATCCAGGGATTACTTTCAGCATTGTTCAGGATGGTGATGCAAGGTTTCTGTATGTGCTAGAATATTGTTGCATGCCAAAACCCAGATATTTCAGGAAAACTGTAGTAAATGCCATAATAGCCTTAATGAACAAAGCACTTAAACAAGTTACAAAGTTATGAACTTGTCATTTTAAATGCCAGCTGTAATGAAGATGTATTGTAAATTACAGTGAGGGATCTGCTGGAGATGCTTGTCTATGGGTTTATCAGGCCTAGCTGATGACTGAATCATTGTAGTTGTTGATGGCTGATGGAAGGTTCCTGTATGTTACATAGTAAGCTTGGCTTCAATCTGTGGGAAATACTTGTGCAGACCAGCAATCATTGACTACCACTTGAAGCCATGGCAGATACTCTCAGATATTCCGACCATATGTTGATGCAGATAACTAGAAAGAACAGCATCTAGATTCTTTCCATAATTATGCTAGGCAAAGATTGTTTATTTTGACCTGATATTTAGCTAGTGATCGGAGCTCCACATGGTATTCTTGTGAATGTCCAAAGAGCTTTCATCCAGTACTTCAGCAATGTTGAACAAAGCCATGAATGATGGATAATTGACATCCCCCCCTCGAGATGAGACAGGATGAGCCTGGTTGTCCACTTCTGGATCAGTGCTTCTTGATATGCACGGCAGTGTTTGTAATGAGTAGATGGATTATAAGTATTGCTGATGAACGATAACTGATGTTGTGAGGTGTCACATATCACTTTAATTAATTTAAATTATTACTCATCTGTGAAGTGATCACCCATTTAGTTTAACATTATACCTTTATAAACAATGTTTAATAGGGACAGGACTATTTTTGGCATCGGCTGGTTATTCGAATAACTGGTGCGGGTAGCACTGTGAAACTGTACTCTGCAACATCTACTTTGCTCCCAGACGAATGCTCTACTCCTGACAGACACTACTAATTTTCATAAAACACCAGAAATGCATAGACACACTATGTGTGCATCTCACTCTAGCTAGGGCTGTCCACATATTTTACTTGAATTGGTCAAGTAAGGAGATTTTGCAGTCGCCTGTGATCTATCTATTGTGATCTAGCATCGTGGCATTATACAGGTTCAGAGCATCCTTATTAAACGAAACATTTTGTTGAAGCATTATCACAACACTTCATCACCGTGTCTACTTACAACCATGAACATTGTGTTGCGAATGAGTGAAGCCCCCTTTAGACCCAGAGGACAGTTGTTAGAAATGTCTCATGTCAACCTATGCAGTCTCGTGTTGTAAATCTTTCATTCTCCAAAATTGCCCAAATGGTGCAGCTTAATGGTAATTAGAATCAATTTCATAACAGATAAACCATCTGCTCACTCTTATGAAATGAAATAGCACACATCACATGACTCGATGAGAGGATCATCATCTTGCGGGCTCCCCTCACCTACACTGAACCAAATTTGAAGCAGATGTCTCTAACACATTCACACACACACACACATATATGTATATATGTTATTTTGAATATGTTTTTAAAATTGCCATCTTATTGGTTTTTATAATCATTCTCGGAGAAAGCTGAATTCTTAATTGCTAGGCTACACCTTGAGAGAACAGTCTATGGTCGAATCATTAGCTTCTTATGTTGTATTCATACACCACCCTTTAACCAGCAACATCTGTTTTCAACATTGAATATGTACAAAGTTTAAGTGAATAATACATATATTACTACCCTTGTCCATGTTAGATACTGTATCTAATAATCTATATATCAGGCCCCCCCGCTCCGACAAGATAGCTACCATGTTTGGGATATTTAACCTTGAAAATGGACAGGGTTAAGGTGATGGAGTACTAGATGATGAGTTGTTAACTCATAGGATTTTCCGACCAAAAATATAAAGGAGTTAATGAATAAAACATTTGGTAACATCCTTGAAAAATTAATTGATTAAGAAACCGATTCACTGTTATCTGCTAAACACTGCATATCAGAGCTCATGATTATAATATGCTTTGTTGGTAAACTGAAAAAAATACCTGAACAATGGTTTTCTTCTTGTTATTTTCTGTTTCCCAAACATGAACATAGTTTACAGGGAGAAAGGAGTATTTTAACATTCTTGGAGATATATAAATATGCATTACTCCATGGTTGTCACCAGTCCAGCTTCAGTGTAATGAAATATGCAGACAGTTATGGAAGAAAGGTGGGAAGTGGGGGTTGGGGTGGGGACCAGTTGTTGTTTGATTAGTTTGTATCTACCCCCACACTCGATCCCTACCAGCTCACCTACAACCCCACCAGTTCAATCCCCACAAGCTCCATGCTGACACCAGCTCCATGCCAACACCAGCTCCATCCTGGCACCAGCTCCATGCCGACACCAGCTCCATGCCAACACCAGCTCCATGCCGACACCAGCTCCATGCCGACACCAGCTCAATGCCGACACCAGCTCCATGCTGACTCCAGCTCAATGCTGATACCAGCTCCATCCTGGCACCAGCTCCATGCAGACACCAGCTCCATCCTGGCACCAGCTCTATGCCGACACCAGCTCCATGCAGACACCAGCTCCATCCTGGCACCAGCTCCATGCCAACACCAGCTCCATGCCGACACCAGCTCCATGCAGACACCAGCTCCATCCTGGCACCACCTCCATAAAATTATATAAATATGCATTACTCCATGGTTGTCACCAGTCCAGCTTCAGTGTAATGAAATATGCAGACAGTTATGGAAGAAAGGTGGGAAGTGGGGGTTGGGGTGGGGACCAGTTGTTGTTTGATTAGTTTGTATCTACCCCCACACTCCATCCCTACCAGCTCACCTACAACCCCACCAGGTCAATCCCCACAAGCTCCATGCTGACACCAGCTCCATGCCAACACCAGCTCCATCCTGGCACCAGCTCCATGCAGACACCAGCTCCATGCCAACACCAGCTCCATCCTGGCACCAGCTCCATGCAGACACCAGCTCCATCCTGGCACCAGCTCTATGCCGACACCAGCTCCATGCCAACACCAGCTCCATGCAGACACCAGCTCCATGCCAACACCACCTCCATCCTGACACCAGCTCCATGCCAACACCAGCTCCATCCTGGCACCAGCTCCATGCTGACACCAGCTCCATCCTGGCACCAGCTCCATGCCAACACCAGCTCCATCCTGGCACCAGCTCCATGCAGACACCAGCTCCATCCTGGCACCAGCTCCATGCCAACACCAGCTCCATGCCGACACCAGCTCCATGCAGACACCAGCTCCATCCTGGCACCACCTCCATCCTGGCACCACCTTCATCCTGGCACCAGCTCCATGCCGACACCAGCTCCATCCTGGCGCCAGCTCCATGCCGACACCAGCTCCATGCTGATCCCAGCTCAATGCTGACACCAGCTCCATCCTGGCACCCCTCCATGCCAACACCAGCTCCATGTCAACACCAGCTCCATGCTGGCACCAGCTCCATCCTGTCACACCAGCTCCATCCTGGCACCAGCTCCATGCCGACACCACCTCCATCCTGGCACCAGCTCCATCCTGGCTCCAGCACCAAGCACCAAGCACCAAGCACCCAGCACCCAGCACCAACAAGAGCCTACACCAAACGTAGGCCAGCTGAGTAGCCATACACCAGACACATATTGCCAATATAAATCAATTAGGCTGGTAGTTGTGTGGAAGACAATATTGTTACAAACAGGTGATTAACACACACTTGTAGCTCTAAATACATGACTATCAGTGATCAGCTTGACTACATTTGCTGTTTGACAGTCAGGTCTGCACACAGATCACACGTAGTAAGGTTCCATGATCCATCATCAGGATGATATCCGATGTATGTAGTACATAGAAATATTCAGCTAAGAAGGACATGACCAGAAAGTTGAAACACATAGCAACAATTTAACAAGGAACATGTTCACATTTTGGTCTGACAAACATCTCGGTCCAATTGGCCACTGAAGATATTCAGGGATGTGAAATCTCCACGGAAATGCGGAAAATTGGGTTTCTTAAAACAGTAGTCCTCGGGGAAAAATCATCTTCTGCTTAAAAATATATTAAAAAACACTTAGAAAAATATTTTAGAAAAAAGGACAACCATCGCGGATTGTCCTGTGTTTGATCAGAGCTTTCAGCATCAGATTTTAGGACATCATACGTTTTCTATCACGATTACTTGCGCTTTAATGTGGGGGGTAGCGTCACAAAGAAATTGTAAATACTCAGATGATGGCTTGTTTTGAAGATAAAGTTGTCTTTTAGCCTATACATGAATGAGATATTTTAAAAGTACTGATTTAACTTTGAAATTTTGCTGCATCTGCCATCTTTGTTCATTTGACTTATTGACTTTTGACTTATTATATTTCTTGGTGTGAATGTTGCCCAAACTGTGCTTAAAATGCAATCATGAACTCCCCCCCCCCCCCCCCCCCTAGACTTTTCCTTTTTTTGCTCACATCCCTGGATATTAGACATGTTGGTCAGAAAGGTTTTGGGCTTAATTTGTTTACAAGAATGAAAGAGGACATTTGTCATTGCTGGATATATGGGGCGGTCGGGTAGTGGTTTAAGCGTTCACTCATCATGCCAAAGGCCAGATTTCGATTCCCGACATAGGTACAATGTGTAAAGCCCATTTCTGGTCTCCCCTGCCGTGATATTGCTGGAATATTGCTAAAAGTGGCGTAAAACCATACTCACTCACTCACTCATTGCTGGCCATGTTAAGTGGGAATCATGATGAGTTTGTGGTTGGGTGCCATCTCTCCTTGTTGGCCTGCATGTGCTGGAGGACTGTTACCTGTAGCAGGACACCTACAGCATGAAGCATGGGGGATTACTAATGGAACCTTATTCCTTCCTGCAGTCTTATTTTCCTGGTCACTCTGATGGCAATCGAGTCTGCATGGTCTATTTCCGTCCCCAAATTTGTTGTAAAGCTTCTATTGGTGGCTATTTCTAGTGTGCAATTGTTACTGTTCTTGTGGATAAAACCATTTAGATGGACATGTGACACTTGATAATATTGGGATCCAGTACCTGCTATCTGATGATTTAGTGCAGCTGCACATCTTTGTGGATTGTTACTTACTAATTACAAGTCGGGGTAGTTGCCAAAAATAATTTCTTTGCAAGGATGTCTTATGTCTCAATATTTCTTGTACATACAAGTACCTTCTAGAAAGTTGCTTGATTTCACTAGGAGCAGAACTTGCCTGCATAAGAAGCATTGCTATCACCAGTACAGCGGCTATACCACTGATGAGATAACTTGATGGATGGCCCATTTGTAAACAGATGAAACTGAAAGTTGTTTACACGAAGCAGGCTAAATGTTTTCATTTGTTGATGTTGTATGGGGCAGCAACTGTTGGCTTGTGCTTGCAGCCAATGTGAGGGCTTCCATCTGTTCTGTGAAGGCTTCTTCCACACTGCACTGGTGGCTTACCAACCATTAAGATTTCTCTGATTAGAAAACTGACTTTTCAAATGCAGCCCAAATGCCTTTGAAGGAGGCTTCATGAACTCTAACATTTGTCTTGTGTTGTGTCTTTATTGACTTTAAAAGAAATAGGTCACATGATTTAGAAATTCAGTATGTCACCCTATGTAATTGCTTGCGTGAGACCTGGAAAACGAACTTGTGTTGTGTGAAGCTGATGTTCTTGGCTATATATATCTTATATATCGGACTGCATTTTTCATGAAGTCAGAGTTTGTTACTGTTTGCATAGAATGACAATTTGAGATAGGTAGCAGTAGTTATAAGCAGTACAACCTAAAGGTTGTGTTATCGTGGTTTTCATTAACTGATATTTTGGTTAAGCTAGTGTTTACTGCCATTTATCTTGGCTAATAGTTGCTCCAGTGTCTTAGCACATTTTATAACTACTTGAGTCATAAAACAGCAGTCTTGTCTCATACTCATACTTACATGCATCATAAAACTCCTGGAGAGATACTGGTTGCTTTAACCCTTTGTTTCATGGGGAAGTTAAAGGAACAATTATGAGTTAAAGCTTTAACAGAGGTAAAAGTCCAATTCTTCAATACAGATTTTACATAAATTGTGATGTTTTGTACTCAATTTTGGAATGCAAATAATTTTGTTAATTCTAGGTTCATGAATTTAGATATTTTCTTTTATGGTGGAAAGGGTTAATTGTATGCTTGAGCTAAGTCATTTATGTGAAAGAAGCTGATTGGTCAGTCATGCTTTGATGTTTCACAATGATGTTTTGCAACAAGTCTTCTATGGTTCTTGCAATGATAGTTTCAAGCAGATGCTCATCTTTTGCAGTGTAGATTCAGTAGTTACGTATCACTTCATCTCCTACAATCATACTCACCAGGGATGAGAAGTGCAGGGAACATACAACATAGTATGCTTTGTGAAATTATTTTCTTGATGAACATGCTGTGTAAATATTATGTAGGGATTGACAATATTCCTAACAGATATTGTCCAGGCTCCTCATTAGATAGTAGGCACATATTAACCCTTGTTACCCATTGTATATTAATAACAAAAAATCATTTAGGTACACTTTGAGTGCATGTTGACAGTGTTACTTCGGCTACCTGTCACTTAATGTATGCTGTATTCAATGTGTAACAGTACCTGAAGCTATCTGTCATTGATAAGCATGTACTTCACACATAATGGACATTTGTATTCTGATCTGAGTGTCCATTCCTGATTTTCTTCAGTCATTCCCTATGTTTTCATTGCTCAGGACTCCAGAGCATGCACAATGTTATGAGGTTATTGAATGCTTCGAAGTCAAGTAGGTGACCAGGTTGAAGTCATTTAGCCTGAAGATGTCAAGTACTGTAATGTCCCATGTAGCCTGAAGATGTCAAGTAGGTCCCATGTAGCCTGAAGATGTCAAGTACTGTTATGTCCCATGTAGCCTGAAGATTTCAAGTACTGTTATGTCCCATGTAGCCTGAAGATGTCAAGTACTGTTATGTCCCATGTAGCCTGAAGATGTCAAGTATGTCCCATGTAGCCTGAAGATGTCAAGTAGGTCTCATGTAGCCTGAAGATGTCGAGTACTGTTATGTCCCATGTAGCCTGAAGATGTCAAGTATGTCCCATGTAGCCTGAAGATGTCAAGTAGGTCTCATGTAGCCTGAAGATGTCAAGTTGGTCCCATATAGCCTGAAGATGTCAAGTACTGTTATGTCCCATGTAGCCTGAGGATGTCAAGTATGTCCCATGTAGCCTGAAGATGTCAAGTATGTCCCATGTAGCCTGAGGATGTCAAGTATGTCCCATGTAGCCTGAAGATGTCAAGTATGTCCCATGTAGCCTGAGGATGTCAAGTATGTCCCATGTAGCCTGAAGATGTCAAGTATGTCCCATGTAGCCTGAAGATGTCAAGAACTGTTATGTCCCATGTAGCCTGAGGATGTCAAGTATGTCCCATGTAGCCTGAAGATGTCAAGTAAGTCCCATGTAGCCTGAAGATGTCAATTATGTCCAATGTAGCCTGAAGATGTCAGGTACTGTTATGTCCCTTGTAGCCTGAAGATGTCAAGTATGTCCCATGTAGCCTGAGGATGTCAAGTATGTCCCATGTAGCCTGAAGATGTCAAGTACTGTTATGTCCCATGTAGCCTGAAGATGTCAAGTACTGTTATGTCCCATGTAGCATGAGGATGTCAAGTATGTCCCATGTAGCCTGAAGATGTCAAGTACTGTTATGTCCCATGTAGCCTGAAGATGTCAAGTATGTCCCATATAGCCTGAAGATGTCAAGTACTGTTATGTCCAATGTAGCCTGAAGATGTCAAGTATGTCCCATGTAGCCTGAAGATGTCAAGTACTGTTATGTCCCATGTAGCCTGAAGATGTCAAGTATGTCCCATGTAGCCTCAAGATGTCAAGTTGGTCCCATGTAGCCTGAGGATGTCAAGTATGTCCCATGTAGCCTGAGGATGTCAAGTATGTCCCATGTAGCCTGAAGATGTCAAGTACTGTTATGTCCCATGTAGCCTAAGGATGTCAAGTATGTCCCATGTAGCCTGAAGATGTCAAGTATGTCCCATGTAGCCTGAAGATGTCAATTATGTCCCATGTAGCCTGAAGATGTCAGGTACTGTTATGTCCCATGTAGCCTGAAGATGTCAAGTACTGTTATGTCCCATGTAGCCTGAAGATGTCAAGTAGGTCCCATGTAGCCTGAAGATGTCAATTATGTCCAATGTAGCCTGAAGATGTCAGGTACTGTTATGTCCCTTGTAGCCTGAAGATGTCAAGTATGTCCCATGTAGCCTGAGGATGTCAAGTATGTCCCATGTAGCCTGAAGATGTCAAGTACTGTTATGTCCCTTGTAGCCTGAAGATGTCAAGTACTGTTATGTCCCATGTAGCATGAGGATGTCAAGTATGTCCCATGTAGCCTGAAGATGTCAAGTACTGTTATGTCCCATGTAGCCTGAAGATGTCAAGTATGTCCCATATAGCCTGAAGATGTCAAGTACTGTTATGTCCCATGTAGCCTGAAGATGTCAAGTATGTCCCATGTAGCCTGAAGATGTCAAGTACTGTTATGTCCCATGTAGCCTGAAGATGTCAAGTATGTCCCATGTAGCCTCAAGATGTCAA